GTATGTATGTATGTATGTATGTATGTATGTATGTATGTATGTATGTATGTATGTATGTATGTATGTATGTATGTATGTATGTATGTATGTATGTATTCCTACACAAATGAAAAAGTTGTGTCAGCACAGAAAATATTGAAAAATGAGTTTGAAATCTTCAAAAACAAAGAAATTGAAAAATGCCTACCAAAAAGAGCTACAAAAAATGCGATAAATTGACGGAGTGTTTAACGTTAAAAATTATGAAAATTAAAGGCATTTTTGATAAATGCACAATTTTTGTCGGCGCAAATATGAACAAAGTGCCTTCATTTGAAAAATTTATGGAAATAAATTTTGAAAATGTGAAAAAAGAGTTGAAAGACATACTTGATAAACAACAGGTGTGTTGTCACAGGTTGAGGTTTAGCATGCGGCGCCTCATGATTTTATCTTAACGGGGTTGCCGCATTGCGGAAAGAAAAAAAATATATAAAGCGATAATAGGAGAATTATTGAGTGAGAACGCCGTAGTTTAACTCTTGGTTGATAGTAGACGATAGAATTTTGCATTTTAGTAATTATTGGTTTAATTTGGAGTAAAAAACGTTTGGTAGTAGGTTTGGCGGTAGGACGTTGGCAGTCACAAGTCTAACTGGAACGTCGTTTATAGGTATAAAGTGGTAATTGGTAGCAGGTAGTAATAGCGGAGTCAACAACAACTCCAACACAACAGCGTCGTGATAACAACCACCACAACTACAGCAGCTGCAACAACCAGTTATTTCAACAACATCTCCAACACAATAGTGTCGTGGTTTCAGTTATTTCAACAACAACTCCAACACAACAGTGTAGTGATAACAACCACCACAACTACAGTCGCTGCAACAACCAGTTATTTCAACAACAGCTCCAACACAATAGTGTCGTGGTTTCAGTTATTTCAACAACAACTCCAACACAACAGTGTAGTGATAACAACCACCACAACTACAGCAGCTACAACAACTCTTATCCAGCAACATCGTGGCGTCAGTTATTCCAACAACAACACTCGCACAACAACGTGACAGTCTATACCGTAGTAATAAAGCACGTTTGTCACCCCAAACGACAATACATACATTAACTTAATAATTGAACAATATTTTGTTAATTTGTATTCTATCTCGATTTATTTGAATATCAAGAAAACTTATTTTCTGTTTCTACACATCAAATTTCAAGTCTTTTGATAGAAGCCGTAAAGAACCTGTTACATTTGGTGGCAGCGGTGGGATTCACACTAAAAGAAAGAAAAGTGTGAAACGGCG